TCTACAGTCTAATTGTATAACAACCGTCTTAACAAACATACATTATATGACAATCATGACAGGATTCCGGTATCTCCCGTATATTGTTATTATTATTTCTCATATTTCTCGATGATCCGACATTAGAAAGTTGTGCAGTAAACAAAAACTATATAGAACATAACAGCTCCAATCGAGCAATCGTTGTGGTAATAAAACCTCCATAAATGCACACTCTTCAACTGTTTATTATATCAATAACCGGCTTATATAACAACTTAACGTAGTGTACCACTTAACTGCAATAATGAATATGAAATATAAAATTAAAAAAAAACTGTTATATATATATATATATTTGTACATCATCCATTATATTAGATTAGATTCTCATTAAAGTTAAATAAAAAAAAAATTTAACTGACTAGCAAATTAAGTTTTTTCAATTAAAGGATTTTTTTATATATGGTATACTGAACTTTTAGTTAATAATAAAAAAATAAATAAATTTCTATATCCAGAAACCCTAACGAGACGTCTGCTCTTAACGTTGTTATATAAATTACTACAATTATGTACATGTCAAGGCGCGTTTAAACACAATGTCACTCATCAAACGGTGAAAGTTTCTTCTCGAACAAAAAGCCCGACATAACATGACGTCCTCAAACTATTTATTATGTTTACCTCCAACAGCGTGGATACAAATTGGAGTCAATTTAAATAAATCGTTTCGGACAGATACTATCCGACGGCGATCTGATTGTTTCGTTTAAACCTGAACGATAAGCATTTGTAAAAAATGTTAGAGCAGCTTCCCTTTTAAAATGCTACAGAATTAAGTTCAAAGGCATTCCTTCACTTCTCGTTCCAGTTGTGCAGCGTGCCGTGAGGGGAGGCCGATGGAGGAGGTGCGGAGGATGGAGCGGGGAGAGTAGCACCGGTGCGGGTACCGTTGCCATCTGACCCACTGACTTGGAAGAATGTGAGACTCGTATATTGCTGCTTGCGTACTACCAACCACTGCCTGTCAAGATGGTGAGCCGACAATGGATAACGATGGGTCTGACCGCTGCTTTGCTACGGAATGCTTGCAAACTCTACTATTACAAGAACCTGACAATATTGGCGAGAACTTTTACTATAAGGTCAGCAGGTTAAGGTCGTCTGATTTATAATTAGAAATGAACGTGTACATGTCTTCCCCACTTTTTCCGACCACGTTCAATGCTCTGGGATTATATTGGTAATTTAATTTACTTCTTTTTCATCGAAAAATTTTGTGTGCTTCCTCTTAAGTTTTTATCAATAGTTTTTACTATAGGTCACACTATATAATAACTGGCAATTAAAAACATAAATTACTTAAACATTGATGTACAATATTCTTATAATAAAAATATATAAATAAATAATTATATATATTTATATTTAAACAAAATCAAATATATAAAATAATTGTATAATCTCCTTAAATATAAATTGATTTTCAATAACTCAATACTTTGCATATTACATTTTCAAATATTGTATGCTGCTCTATGATTAGACTTAATTACAAAAGGTTTGACGCCGTATTAGGGAAAGTTGATATATTAGTATACACATGTATACTCGTGCATATTAGTAGGTATATTGAAACATGACCAAAATATAATTATTCTGTTTTAATTATTTGTTTGTTTAATTATTTGTAACTTTTTTAATTATTTTTTTTTAAACTACTAAAAGCATCGTAAAAGGCACTGGCACTGAAAGCTTAGACAAAAATTTACTACTTAATTTTTTTAACGATTCCAATGTCAAGCTAGTCACGAAGTTCATATTATCCTTATAGAGCCAATGACCAATCGTGCGAGTCGACTTACGATTGGGGTCACTGCAGCCATATGTATATGTATGTATATATAATAATTAAAACACTAAACTAGCAATTTCGTACTCGTTTGTATTTTTTGTTTTTAAACAGATTGGAATAAAACATACACAAAAGTGTAAGCGAAGCTTACTATAATTGGATAAGGTCTCAAAATAATAGTTCTTTACAAGCATCTTTACAAAAAAATATTATGGTTTACTTTTTGTTTCACTGAATGACACGTTATTAAACTGTGTATGTTAGAAAGTTGGATTTGTATTTTTTATATGGACTATTGACCTTTATACCTAACTGCCAAAGAAAGCAGGGTAATGTGTACCCAGTGCATGCAGGTATGTATCTAGGTGTCCGAATTTTTTACACACCACGTAGCCTAACTTGATAGATTTAAGTTATTAAATGTGTTTTAAAAGTGCTTATTACCGTTAGATTTAGAAATATCCGCTTACGTATTTTTTTTTTTAATAACTGGATAAAACATTCCATCTATTCAGTCCAACATAGACATTGTACTCACAATATATGCAAGCTACAGGTACAAGACTGACTGATCATTCAGTTCGACATTTGCATGCGCATAGCAAAACAGTGGCATGTCTCCGAGGAGATTATTAGAGCAGTATTTCTATATCTAAATTTTAATGAAATGTGTAGTTTTTCCTCCTCCCATGAAAATAAGTTGCAATGGTGACCTTGGTAGAGTAACGGTTTAATACCTCACTTTCCAGTTGTATTATGATCACCTCACGAGACAAACATTTGTATTAATGAATATGACTGTGTGGCTCCTTCACATGCGACGGTTACGGAATAAAGCACAAAAATTAAGGTGCAATAAAAATGAAAACTCAAGATAAAACTGTACCAAGCTGAAGAGATGTCTTGCCATTAGTCACCACACAGGACAGGTGGATTATTAACTGTAAAGTTTTTGGAGCGGATATAAGAGGATTATAAAGCATTTTTATTGAAATTTAGGTAAGTAATACATGTCAATATTTTAAAGATTATGGAATACAATAGTATTCGCATAAGTGTGTCTATGTTTATTTGTTCTTTCCAGTATTACATATATATAAAATATCGCATACATCTCATGTGTATACCAAAAGAGCATTCTGAATTTCAACAGTTTTTTTTATTATTCTTCTACAATTTGTTTGTAAGGCCAACGATGTACCGAATAGTTACATTACTGTTCGTCGGATGCGATTCTCTGCACCGTAAAATGCATTTTATTCGTGAATTCGTTTCGACGATGTTTGTAGTAAACAGTGCATATTATTAAGTTAGACCCGCACTTTCTGCACTACGGAGCGCCGTCTATGCCAATTTGTGCTCAAGATGCAGATAATGGGTACTAGAATATCAGATACCGTTGAGTTCGCTATGTGAAAATTTTTAGTATTATCTTTAGTTTTCCTTAGTGTTGCTAGCCACCTAGATATCACTCTGGTAGTACTGTTTTTGGTTTGTTTCACATAATTTATTTAATTAATCTGTCAGCATAACAATTAAGTTTTTTGTTACTTCATTACTAGCGTTTGCAAATTTTTTACTCGCTCTCTAACAAAGTCACGATTTTATAGTTTAACAATAAATACAAAAAATACACACACAACGAATAAATATGTACTACGTTACTATGTAGTTTTGTAACAACAATAATCTTTTATACAATTTTAATAATTTATTCAACGGCACACGAAAGACTCCAATTTTATTTATGGGATGACGCTTGTGGCATTATCTTTTTTCTCAAATATGCATTGGTTATTATTTTTATAACATGTCGAAGGTAAAATGTCGTCGTATGGTAATGAACTAGACCAGGCAGTATGAACAGATTGTGGCCTAATGGTAAATCTAAACTGTAATAAAAAAAATAACAAAATATACTTTGTATACACAATACGTTGTTGATACTGTACTTGTAAAATCGTGGGAAGAATAACATAGATATACCTATATAGATCCCGTAAGTTCGCAAAGTTTTATTCCTAGCACTGTTGATTTGAAAATGATGAGTTTGTTTCATTCATAAAGTGAATGTTTTTTTTTTAAACTGATAATCTCAAAATATTCGCAAACTATATATCTAGCGTGTAATTCCATGTATCTATATATAAAAAAATATGTTTGGAATCTTTCATAAAGCAGCCTTTACAAAAGACCACCTTACTTTTCTTTTGAAATTTGTAAATATTCACGAATACTTATTGTTCTATTAGCGATTATGTCTTTTATACATTAAAAAAAATCGATATACGAAAATTGTTTTTGAGATGTCTCAAAAAGTGAGCGTCGTAAAATAGCATTGCATAAATTCCCTTGACCTTTGTGTATATAATATCGATATATGCAGAAAGTACAATAATATTACTGTGTACAGATTGTGAGAATAAGGTAATTTTCTTTGACTTGCACCAAACTCAGTAGCTACATCGTATCCAGCGCCAGGCGCCAACATTCCTTACGTAGAATCAACGAAAGGAGATTCTTTTGATCACATCTCGTTTGTCTGTCACTTGACCTACTGGAGCTACTGGCGTATCGAACCGCTACTAATATAGAAAATGTTTAGTTATAAGACTATGAATCAGTCAAAAGTTTGTAGAGATGTTACATCCAAAATTATCGAACATGATATCTTCTATGATGAATGGATTCTTCAAATTTCCATATTATCGTATTTAATTATAAATAAGACCAAAAATTATGTTATTCAATTAAATAATATATTAATTATTTAGGTTCATTTTGACAACTTGAATGTCGAGTTCCGAACAAGTAGTCAGTTATATAATTTCTACATTTCCGGTTCCTATTTATTATTGGTGAAAGTTCCATAACTTTAGAACACCTATTTTGCATTTGAATTCTTTATTAATTTTACCAATAACTTAATGTACTAATATTTACATAGTATGTCCTGTGGGAACGTGCCTACTTAAATATTTTAATTACTTTGCTTTCTAAATTGAAAATTACTGATTGGTACCTATAGTTAATACCGTGAAGCTTTTTTGTTTTAGATGTCGAAAATTGGAGCCTTGACAAATAGAGATTTCAAAAGTTAATGACCCTCTGAAATCATTGATAAAAGTTAGCACAGGTTCCTGAAATCGTCTGAAAAACTCACCTGTCAGAAGCAGCGTGAGCGCCGCCCCGTAACGCATTACGGCAAAGTTTTGTTCACTGGGAAAAATTAAATGCGATTCACAGTTAGCGAACTACTTTCAAAATATATATATCTATATATATTACTATTGCGTGTGTTGCGCGAGATGCGCGCACGTCTCTATGCGCAGCGAGCGTGAGACTGTAGGCGCGCGCGCCGCTCGCCAGGTTTTGCTGCTGCTCCGTGTTATGCAAACCTCTTGCACAAATCTCGCATCCACTCTCATGAGATGTTAATAAGTTATTTTTTTAATTAGCAAACCCACTCGATGGATATTTAAGCAGGTGGATCACGACCAACATGCCATTATTATGATTTAATATATAAATAACAAGTTATTCTGACGAAAAACTCCTTTATTGAAATCACCAATTACCATACCTGAAAATAAGTTTGCACAATTTTTAATCCGACATAGTAACGCATTCATGTTTTTTTATTACTTTATGAAATAATATGCGAGTGGAATTAGTAGGTTGATTTTCAACAGTGCGTTACATATATGAAAAAGTCCAAATCATTACATGTTATTGCAGCAAGAAATTAAGCGTCTGTGCTTCTTTTATATTCCTAAGAATAGTGACACTGATCCAATTCTTTAGCCAATAAAATTCTTGGATCAATTCCATGAATTTTATTGATAGATGGGGTCCTCCCATCTGTCACGCCATAACATTCCCTCCAACTTACAAATCTGTTAAAAAAATTTGAAAGTTGGTTAAATTACCTTCCAAACAGTTTCGGAGTGGAGTTTCACTTGGGCTTGTCCCTCCAACCTATCTAGCAATGATGATTAACTATAGATAATAATAATACTCTTTATTGTATCAATCATGTTTACAACTACTCGTGAGCTCAATTTTGAAAGTATTTTTATACAGTATTTTATAGATATACTCGTAGTTATATGTACACGTCTTCAATGAGTATCCTAGTATGCAGTACAAGCACATTAAAATACTCGTCGCCAACACTTCCACATTTAATTAACTTAATCCTCAAATTAGGCATGAAAAAAAGTAAGCGTTATTTGTAATGATTGTAGGTCTTCATAGGTTCTTATCTATGCAATAATGACATATATCTACGTATAAAAACTTTTGTTCGATTAACTAATAATGCGCAGCCTCGAATATGAGTCTCAAATATGGAATATGTTTTTATAAAGTTCATAATAAAAGTTTAAAAATCCTTTCTTAGCGTATCACGGTAACACTATGAAAGAATTTTAAAATATTCAACTTTATGACACCACGCGTGCAAAGCTCGGGTAACAGCCATGTAGTAGGTACATTATAAAGTCATTGGAACTTCACGAATGCTTACTTTCCAGTATGTATCTCCGTCGTACAGTAAACACATCAGAATAATAACGATAAACTTTCTTTTTTTCTATAAGGATATTAGAATTAGGTAGATGTCGTAAAAGTCGTCTGCATCTCTGCTTGCATGGGTACCTACCTATTTTCAACTATTCAACCGTTAAGCACTTTGTTTTATAAGCTGTGTTTTAGTGTTAGTTAGGCAGTGAAATTACAGGATAAAATGCATGACATCTTAGTCCTGCGGAAGGGCATGACACATGAGTGGTATCACGGAAGTACCGCTGTTCTGCTGATGTCCAGATTCATGTATATATGCTACAGTTACCACTTGATACTAAGCTCGCCGTCAGCTAGCTTGCCTTTCCATTACATAAAAAAATATAAAAAATATTGTGTATTGTTGCACGTTTTTCCAAAGACGTAACTGTTGTCAGTTACTTCTAAGTTTATTTATAAGAGACGGATACAGTTACATAGGGTACAAATAAGAAAATGGGTTATAAAGATACAATTTTTTTTATTTGTATTTAAATCATATATTTAAGTAACATTTACTCAAATGTAATTAATATTTTGTAATAAGAAGCATTTCTTTGTGCTTCACTGTTCAACATTTACTTAGGCATCTAGTAGGCAAGTACCTACATCACTCTAAACAGAGGTATTTAGTTCTAAATTAAGTAGATATTTGGGTATTATATTGGGTAGTGCTATGGGTACTATAGAAATACTTTTTTAATATAAGTACATTAAATGTGTACAGAACATCCAGACCAATACAAACAGTAAAACTCATACATATTGAATATTTGTTTAGAGCGGTGATCGAACCATGGAAAGGTAAGGCAATCTGTAAATCGCTAAACCACCAAGGTCATCGACTGCCTTCTGCTTATGACTGCTAACGTACCTATTTATTTATATACATTTTGTTAACTAAATTCGTAACATTTTTATTAATATTTACTACCAGCTGTTCCCGCGACTTCGTCCGCGTGGAATTTAAATTTATTTTTATATAATAAAAGATTTTTCTGAAATTAAAGTAGCCTAAGTTACTCCTTATTACATCAGCTATCTGCCAAAACAGTCCCGTCAAAATCGGTACAACAATTTCAGAGATTTTCCGGAACAAACAGACAGACAAAAATTGTAAATAATGTTATTTTGGTGTATGTACGGTACATACACCAAAATATATTATTCATATGCATGTAGAAAAATCCAGTTATTTCAATATTACAAACAGACATTCCAATTTTATTTATATGTATATATCTATATAATTAATAAGCATAATTATTGTCATGTCCTAAGTACTTTGCAATAATGAAAGTGTCTGTTTATGTTATACTAGCTACTCGCCCCGGCTTTGCACGGCTGTACATTAATTATATATATAAACCTTCTTCTTGAATCACTCTATCTATTAAAAAACCGGATCAAAATCCGTTGCGTAGTTTTAAAGATTTAAGCATACATAGGGACACACAGCGACTTTATTTTATACTATGTAATGATGGAAGATGATTTCCACTGTATAATCTCAGAACTATAAACGCTGCGAGCCACCACATGGTACAATCAGAAGCGTATAAAAAATTTATACTTAAATATTTTTTACGTTGTTTTAATTTATTTCCCCTTTTTAGCATGAGATTACTGTTAAAAAAGCTAAACGTCTGTTTTTTTTTAATTTACCGCCAAAGAAAACTGACAGTTAAATAATCAATGTTGCTGCTATTAATACGCTCATAATTATATTAAACTATGAAGCCATAATCTTTTTTTTGTTTTAAATTGAGAACGTAAATAATATTAATTATACTAGGAAATCTCTACGACAATTATTATAAACAATAATAATTAATCATTTTTACTAATGGCAACTACATATACCACAAAAAGTGAAAGGAACTATAGTCTTATTGGCTACTTGGAATTTCATTGCAACTTAGCTGCCCAATCAGCACTATGGCCTTGACGTTAATTGAGCAATAGCTGTAGCTCCTATGTGACACATTGTCAGACAGAAAACCGGAAACAAGTCAATACCAAGTTAAACTTACTTTGGCGAAAACAAAAATGTTATGAATAGTGACCTTTTATTTTGAAAGTTTGTTCTTTATTTATCTATAAGTTCTTGTTAAATAAAAATGAGACTATATGTGATTAGGACTTGTTTAATTTTAGTTACGATCACTGCACAATGTACGTATGGTAAACATACTTTACGAATTAGTCAATTGTTTCTACAACTTTCTCCTTCTGTTATAGTCGTTCACTTTGTTGCTTTATAGGTCGAACACAGGAGGACGAGGATGGCCCATACCTAGGCAAATACATCGGGAAACTGAACACGTATCACCACCAGGTATTTGAAATCATACTATTCTGAATTTCGAATGTATCAACAAAAGTAGGTACATATATAATACTTCTTAAAAAGTTGTTAATATTTAATTCCTTCGAATGAAACCCATACAAAAAATTATAATATATAACTAAACTGTTTTAGTTATTTTTCTAGTATAGTTTATTTAAACATCAATAACTTAAATAGTTTCTGTAATTATAATTTAAATTTGTATATATTTATTATTATTTTTTTACTCTTACTTCTCAGCTAATTTATTAATGTTGTTAAATAACATTAGTATATTTAAGACATGTATACCTTTACTTACATTTATCCTACTATCTAATTTTATTGCATATTATCAATAATATATTTTTTAAATTATATTTATTTACAAAATGTATATTTGCAAATAAAAACAGCTACCTTGTCAGCAAATAGTGTTCACTATGAAATAATTCTAATTATTGCTAAGAAGATTGCTTTTAGTTTTCAATATCGAGAATCAAATAAAATAATAATTATTAGTAATGTTATTGTTTTAAATATTAGGTTTCAGGTGATGTGTATGCAGTAGATGACTGGACAATTCTATTAGTCAAATTTAATTATGATGGCACAGGAGAAGACACATTTTTCTGGGCTGGCGACTCAGGCCGTCCTGGCCCGCAAGGCTTCATAATTCCAGATGAACATGGGAAGTAAGTAATGTTTGTGAATAAAATATTATTCATGTGTTAGTAACAGAGACTAATAGCCCCTATGCTAGCAGTGTACCAAATCAAACTCTACATGCAGGTTTCTATAATGATTAATTAAAAAATTGAATTTTATATTAATTTAACAATATAGAAATTTTTAAAAATATGTAATAAAGAATAAAAGCAAGTTTCTTTAATTTTTTTTTGGAAAATGTAATTTTTTGTAATTATATCCATATGCAGTAACTGTTGAATACAATTGATATTGTATGTGTCTTTATTTAAAGTACTTAGAATTAGCCGGACAACATTTTCAACAATTATTATATATCTAATAATATTATACTTTTCTATATGCATATATATACATATATTTAAATAAAACAGCCTGCACATGATTCTAAATTGTGGCCTGATATTAGATTAGAGTTGGTTGGGGATATTGGCCTGGTGAGATTCAGAGATCTCTATTAGTGTAGTATGTATAACTTAATAGAATATGCTGATTGTAGACTATATTCATAAACCTAAGTTTTAATATTTACGTATTATTATAATTATATACAATGACATTATAAAAAAGTGAAACTGAGTTTCTTCTCGGTTTATAGGATAGTATATGCTTACTAGGAAGCTTAGTATTAAGCATTATTAAATTAAGTTTTGAAACTGATGGCATATTTGACTTATCCTAGGTATCTATAATTAGACATATATGAATAATGATATTTTGGTTTTTTGCAAATTTGTACCATTAGGACCAATATATTGGAGCGGTATCATGACACGGAGATCCGGCTGCCCCTTCCTGAGGGCAAGCGGTTGTCACGTACTAAGTGGTTTGCAGTATATGATATCGCGAGTCAGAATGCCTTCGGAGATGTGTATGTCCCCGATGACTTTGAGCCGCCGGCGCCTCGCTCCCTGGCTGCCTTGTCAGGTTCGGGCACACCAGCTGTCTCCAGTCAGCCGGTACAGGTGCTTGACTCCATCACGATTCTGTGAGTAAGACCCCATCCATCCTATAAGACGTTCACACGACTCATTTTGATACAATGCGAATGCAATAAAATATATATTTAATATATGCGGCATTGTGAGATGCGTTTCAGCAACAATATGGCTTAATATTAAATCCTTTTTCAATACTGAACTAACCACAATTGTATCGTAATTTTTCATTGATTTAATTAAAAACATACTTGTATATGGACACTTAACTTAATATATATTTACAAGAACAATGCCAATTTCTACAAGTACCTAAGTTTCATTCATCATATATTATAGTAAAAGGATTTGAATTTCAAATATCATGGCAATATGTTACAAACTAACATTTATAACAAGGAAATAAAGTTACGTTTCGAAACATTTATTAATTGTAAAATATCTTGCAGTATCCCCGAGCTCAAGTACGACGGAAATGGCGAGGATGTGTATTTCTGGACAGGCAACGGAGCGCAACCGTCTGCCAACGGACAGATTGTACCTGACGAATATGGATAGTGAGTGTCGATGGCCAATACGATTTCTTTTAAATTATAAGAAAAAAAAATCGATACAATAAAGTTTTCCATCTCTTTGGTTTGGTATTGATTTATAAGGATGGTGCTCGTTAGACAAATGATAGACACGACATCACATTGTGAAATGAACTTCCGACCGATACGATATTGAACCCTTCAAGATAAGAACTTCTTAGCTTATTTCCTCCTTAAGCCCGGAAAAGCTCATGCTCATTTGTTACCTAAGCTGTATAAAGGCACAATATTATTAAAATTGTAGCTTGGAGCCTCTGCGCACATACCGTGGGGAGGACGTGCGCCTGCGTCTACCGGGTGACCTGACCGTCTCCCGCATCGACTGGCTCGCTCTGTGGGACCGCTCGCAGCGTCGCGCGCTCGCGTCCGTACTAATACCGCGCGCACTTAACGTGCCGCCCGCAGCCTCGCGCATACTCGACTACAGGTACTGTCTATTCGTAGAATTTATTTTACCAGGACTTCAAATACAGGAAGATCTTAATTAGATTGGTTTTTTAGGTATAAGGCCATTTTGAGGATTCTTATTTTATTTGAAAGTATTTTAATGTGATCATCATACATTTGATGATGATTTTGACACTAGTTTTTTATGCTTAATAATGCAATTGAAAGTGTGTTCCTATTTTCAAAAAAGTTATCTCTATTTAAGGCGAATTAGATTCTTAAATAAAATTACACTATTTACTAAAATATTTTTTAAAATATATATAGTCGAATTCTTTGATCTTTTAACAGATCGACGCTACCTAACTGCAAACAACTACATAGAGATTACCAAGTATCATGGGAGGTGTTTGGTAACCAAATTACAATAGAACTCGCCGCTCAGGTAAACTTACATTTGTTAACACTAAAATCTAAAAACACATGACTGAACTTAACATACAGTACTAGAGGAAATTTACTGGACATTTATATAATAATTTTGTGAGAAGACCACATGATATGTCATTATTATATTTATCATTGGTCATTTAATAACTACAATTTTTGTGAATTGTAACTTTATATACTTTTGTACAAAAATTCAGAACATTATCAGTGTCTAAATTCTATTATAAAATTGTGACAGTAAATATATTTGGATTCTAACAGCGTCAGATTTATTAATAGATGTATATGAAATTTGATTTGGACTAACATTGTTTCATCACAGATGGAGGAGGATGACTACATGGCATTTGGTATCTCGGGCAACTCGTCGCGGACGGCGATGCTGGGCGCGGACGTGGCCGTAGCACAGTACTCGCGCAAGCTACAGGCCGGGCTCGTTGCAGATTATAACGTCACCGCCGTCGCACCTGTATGTTCTTTTTAATTATTTATTTCGAAACCAACAACAACAACAACATCACAATAAAACGTAAAAAAGATATAAATCTTCAATATTTTTATTGTAATTTTGTAGAATACGCTCTATTGGCGCTTTATTGGTAGACCTCAATGGTACATGCATAAGCAGTATATGACCTGCCGCATGAGATTGATACCTTCTCCTATGGTCACGGTATAACCACCACCCTGGCGAATGGTGTTTCACTATTCCATGGGGGCGAATACACCAAGAATAAACTACAATAGTTTTCAGAGAGGACCGCATAGATCGTCATTGCGACCTGATAGTCATTGCAGCAATCTGGATATGACAGAGGATGAGAATGAGGTCAGGTCAGTTAGCCCCTCGTTATAACATCACTTTGAATTAACATCTATGGTTTTCAGGGACAACCGCGTTAAGGTCTGACATGGTATATTGCTAGCAATGGGTTCTAAACCCTCTTTACTAACAATCTCCTTCTCTCCCCCGTGAGACACATGTGCCTATAGTTGACTTTGTACAAAGTGAATTATTATTTTTATTGAGGGTTTTGGGCTATTGTCATGTGTTAAGACCTGTACTGCGACCTACGTAGATCTATTGTGCTCGCCCTTTTTTAAAGTTGGACAAGAATTGAAGGATATTCTTAGGATTGAGTGTATACTACGCTATATAATATACTATTATGTACGCTGACGATACTACCATAGTAGTAAAATGTAATAACAAAAATGACATAGAAAGACAAATTATTAATACTTTACAAAGCGTTATAAAATGGTTAACTGAAAATAATTTACAAATTAATTTAAAGAAAACTAAGCTAATACAATTTGGTACATATAATTCGAATAATGTGAAATTAAATATTAATTATTGTAATCAATCTGTGGAAGTAGTGGACAATACAAAATTTTTAGGTATAATTGTAGATAGAAATTGTAATTGGAAGTCTCACATAGATGCATTATGTAATAACCTTGACCGATTCGTTCATGCAATAAGAAAACTGCGTTTATCAGTTTCCAAACAGGCTGCATTGAACGCATATCATGGATATGTTTCTTCCAAGCTATCCTATGGATTAATAATATGGGGAAACTCTGTGGATGCTACTAGGGCATTTATCGTGCAAAAGAAATGGATAAGAGCTGTGTGTGATGCCAGAGTAGGAGAAAGTTGTCGATCTCTTTTTAAAAAATTAAACATCCTTCCATTGCCATGTATGTATATTAAAGACATTTGTATATTTGTAAGGGAACATCCTGACTATTTTAAGAAATTAACAGACACAACACTGCGAGTAACGAGACCTAATGATAGACTATACACACCAATGTGTCGATTAGACTTACATAAGAGAAATGTATACTGTATGGCAATCAAAGTGTACAACAATCTTCCAAGAGAGATTAAAGAACTGGGGTCTCATACGTTATTCAAACGCAAACTAAAGAATTGGCTGTCACTTGGTAATTTTTACAGTGTCCAAGAATATTTGAGTGGCACAAGCGCCTTCACGTAATTTGCATGCCTGTATGGTAAATATTGCTGATCAATGGATTTCATGTGGCATCGTATTAATTATAGTACTGTACCAATATTTCGCAAATAAATTATTTCATTTCATTTCATTACTTTCCAAAGGAAAGTGTGTAGGAAGTGTAATTCATAGATTATTTATTTGTTGCGCAGTGCGTGCAGGTTCTGGGCGCGTGGCGTGGCGTGTGCCGGGATACATTACTGGGAGCTCTCGATTCCAATCAGGTGTTTGGCGCTGTTCGCGCCGACGGACTCACGCGCGTCACCTACCGCCGAACGCTCAAGCCTGGTAACCTTTTTATTTATTTATACTTTTGGACGCAAAATTGTTTACATACATACATTATCCCCGGCATGGGCATCCCTGGGATTCGCTATCAGTCAACTGTTGCACTGATCTAAGATAATATGGCGGTGCAATATAATAGATATCTTTAAATAGTATAAATCGAAAGTCGCTGCCGCTCTCTGTTCGCTTATATATTTTAAACGGGTTGTAATGCAAATTGTAGAATTTATATTTATAATACGTGCGTGTTATAGTATAGAACAAACCGAGAAATTAAAAGATTTGTAATGCATCCGTGCGAAGCCGGGTCGCTAGTTAAGGTATAAGAACAAATACATAAAGAAAAATATTTTAAAAGCGCATATTTATCATAAACCAATAAAACATTTCAGAGGACAGTACAGACCTGGAGTGGGTAACAAATGGCCCCGCGTATGTAGTGTGGGCGGTTGGCGCTCTCGACTCATCTCGTGAACCATCGTTCCACCGGCTTTACCCGCGCGGTGACGTCGCACTACATCTAGTGCCCGTGCCAGCACCGACGAATGACTGCGTGCCCTTCACTGTGTGAGTATATATAGATACTATACATAGAAGATTTAAAGAGTAAGAAGCTACTTTTAGTTGTATCAGAACTATTCCGTTGCTCGATGGACAGACGCTTACGCACTGCACTCAGTGCCGTGCCAGCACCGACGAATGACTGCGTGCCCTTCACTGTGAATATATTGATACCTATACAGATTTTTTAAACTGTAAGAATCTACTGATATTTAGTACAGTTCTGGACCCGGCTCTACATGTGTTCATTTCAATTAAAAAACTATTTTTAAGAAACTGATTTGAACCTATGGCATTCCACTGTGGGGAAGTGTTAGTACCTCCAACATTGAGATTCGCGAACGGTCCCAGAATGCTATCTTGAAGACCATTCTTGGGGCACCATGGTTTATAACCAACACAGAAATCCATCACTTTTCGAATTTACCCACAGTACGAGAAAAGCTTGCTAGCACATGCTCAAAATGCAAGGCTCGGCTGAGTGTTCACCCCAATGAACTAGCTCAGAGGTTACTAAATGACAACTGCCCAAAACGCCTGAAAAGAACATATCCACTGGATTTAGATAAGCAACACTCCAATTCTTAATTCCTGAACATATGGCAGAGGGAATCATTAATTAAGAACTCTTGCACTCAATGGACTGCAGACTCGTTGCCATTTGCCAACCGATCCGATTATAGTAGACACATTGAACGCTGATAAACCAGGAACAAAAAAAACTTTTAACAATTCTCTCCGGCCAACTGACAGAGGTTCGCCTGAGGGCGGCGCGGCGTGGGAGGTGGCGGAGCTGTTCGACCCGGCGCTGCGCGTGTTCCAGTTCCGGCTCGGACCGAGCGGCGGCCGGCGCGGGCTCGCCGGACGAGCCGGCCGCCGCGCCGCGCCCGCGCTCGCCTTCTACGTCAACGGACAGCTCGCGCCCGACCTCCAGCTGCGCCGGGGCCTACAGTACACCTTCAAGGTATGCGAATCCTCTATATAGCTTCTTTGTCCGTTACATAAAATGCTTACAGCGGAACATACATTCCGCTGTCGCTAGAAAAATCAAGGACATAATAAGATAAGAGTAGTATACTTTTGAACGAGAACATAACACAATACATATTGTTTTCATATTTCTTAAGTTTTTTGATGAAAATTAGTCACCTTAGACATAGCAATTACTGAAGGCTTCTACATTATTACGTGTTTTTATAACGATACTAGAATGGTACACTAACGGTGTACTCTGGTTGGGGACATAAAGTCTGAAATCACTAGAAATCTTCCCTCTAATATTATGTGCGCGCAATTATTTGTACATGCTAAAATAATGGCAATGACGACCTCGATCGTCTACCGGTTTAGCACACCGCCTCACTTTCTATTGTTGTTAGATCTATCCCTTGCATGATGCAAACATTTATATTCATGAGTATGTTGAATGCTTGTATAAGTTTGGATATCTATGAATATTATGTATGCGTTTATAAAGAAAATGTATTTAAGTATTTCTATCAGTCGTCTGGTAACCATAACACTAGTTTATTGCTATGCGAATTGACCAGGATTATCATAAATTTCACAATCAATGCTCTCTAATAAGAGCTTACACAGCATCGCTATGCTATGCGACTTGATGAAGATTATCATAATGTTTCCGATCATAGTTCTCTAAAATGAGCTGAAAGAGTATGGTTATAACGTATAATTAGTAAAAATCACGGGATCTTACCACGATTTATATTTATTTGCTGAGTTCCCGATATTTCGGCAGTGTTTCAACCACCATGATCACGGGTAAACTGAAGAGCAGCAAAAAATATAAAACGTGGTAAGATCCCGTGATTTTTACTAATTATACGTATAAATAATGACCGCGTGAAATTTAAAACAGTATATGGCTATAACGTTTATGTTGCTTTGACAGGTGTACGGCGGCAACGACCCGCATTCTGCGGACGAGTACCACCCGCTGATAGTGACAGCGGAGGCCACGGGCGGGTTGGAGCGGCTGTCTGCGGAAGCGCAGCGTGCGACGCGCGTGCTGGCCGGCGTGCACTACCCGCGCCGCGGACGGCTGGCGCCCGCAGCTGCTGGAGGCCTCTGTATAGGTCGCCGGCCGCCTGCGACGGACGCGCGGCGGGACGACGATTATGCGACGTTCCGCGCGTTCAACCGTTCGCTGCAGTGGGACTGCTCCGGCTCGCCCGCAGAACTACACATCGCACCGAACTCCTCCTGGCCGGACCTCGTCTATTATAACTCGTTCACGCATGCAGGTCAGTTGTGATACTAACAAACCGTCTTCTTGCAGTTGACCACAGATTTTTTTGTACAATAATGATGGCATGGCAGGACCTCAAAGTAAGATAAAAACTTGTTCACTACCCTTGCTCAAAAGAAATTTTAATCGAAAATTTTATATACCTAATTTTAACACACACCGTACATATACAATTCTTTACGATGGACTAACCTCCGGACCTGACCTCATGGGCATCTTATCATCATCCATTGATGTTAACGGAAGCAGGATAAACATTGCATTATCTTACATTAAAAAAATATTGCATAACAACAATTAATCGGGTTCCAGTTTTATAATTAATTTTCAATTCAGAAAGTATTAAAAAAATTGTAATTAAAGTATAATCATATTAAGAAGTATTAAAAATATTCTTCACTTATTACTCTAAAATATATGATCTTATTTGTCCATTGCAGGTATGGGTGGAAGAATCTTCATTGTAGATCGCCATCGTCGCAACATCGGTCGTCGCAACAACGCTATCGTCTTTGTCCCCAGCTCGCTTTTCGTCTTAGCGGCGCTCGGGCTACTCTTATGGCAGCAGTGAAGCCAAGTCAGGCTTACGAGTGCAGTTGGCGTAGTTCAAAGTTGTATTGTGCTTCCAAAACAATACAATAATGCTCAATTACTTGTAAACAGTGCATCTGACCATTAAAAGAAAACCAGCGATGAAAACTTCGCTTAATTAAACAGTTAAACCGTTTCTTCATATGATAATAATATACTTAGTTATACAGGTAAGCTACGTATCTATAGTATTTTATAGTTACTTTCATAATACTTTTTGTATCTTCTATTTAAATTGGGGTTTATTGAACTATTGACATAAGTACTTTAGCCACAAATTGATTTCCTTTGTAAGCTGTTTCAGTTGTAGAGTGACACTGTCTGACTGAATTACACGATGATTATCTTGTAATTCAGTCAGACATCTTAGACTCGGGAATAGCAAGTATCATGGGTGCCACATGTTTCTGTAGTACTGTTGAAGTAAATAGGTGACTGTTACTGCTTTACCATCAGGTGGGCCGTCAGCTTGTTTGCCATTACGTATATATTACATCTTGACAGAACAATTGAGTAACAACTCTATCTAAACACTCTTAAGTCTTCCAATCTTTGCAATTTCGCATGTTATATACACATATATTTATTTATTTCTTTATCCTTAAAACCAATATCTTCTCTCATTTTACTTTGACGTCTTAATTATTAATACAGCCTGTTACCAGCACTTCACATATACTATGTTGCCTTCAAGCAATTATGATCCTATAGATATGTCACAGTATTACAATACGCCCCTTACTAGAAAATATTAAGAGAGAGCTTTCAGCGAAATAACGAATTATGATACACTTGTAAGGTACAACTAAATGTACATACAGAATTATATTTTCATTTCACACAATGACACGTCGAGAGTATTCTACAATTTTATAAAATGTAGAAATGTAATTGTAAGTGTATTTGTAAATATTTTTTATTATAAATATTGTACTTTTTATTAGAAATTCATCAAGGCTAGTGTGTACGATACTGGTGCTAATTTATTGCAAAAATAAATGTATTAAATTATATATAAGAATGAACTGCATTTTTATTATATACATATATCTATTTATGTAGACTGTAACACTATTATCCCAAATAGAGTAGCGAAATGTATTGTCGGGGTGAACGCACACACGTACACCAGTGAATTAGATACTTATATCATTATTAAACTAGCCTGATATAACTTTCCAATGATCTCACTCCATTCGTATATGTAAAATATAATAATTAACTTTATACGAATGAAAACCAACATAATCCGAATATTTATAATTTGCCACATAATTGAGACCACATCTATACTCATATTTTAAATAGGACTTCATGTTGTGTATGTTTATTTGTGATGAACTAAAAATTTTAAAATAGTTCCACTTAATTCTAAATTATCAGGGAGTAATTACCGTCTTCTACTCAGGCTACGAGGAGAGTAACAGCTTGTTAAAAAAAATTAGATACGTCTAATTCAGATCCTTTATTTGTATTACGAAATTAACATTGCCTCTGACAAGAGTTACAAGATTACAATTTGTTATAGAATGTTGTACAATTACACAATAAAATTCGATTACAGAGATATGAAACATCTACTAAATATTGTTTATTACTATAGATTATATTTATTTTGATGAACAATGAGTATTTCGTGATTATTATATTCACTTATCACAATTTACCATTAATATTAACTAATATTACAATTCATATCTACATACATTGATCGCCGACATTTAATGCGGGCTAATATTATTTTAAACATTTTTTAATTAACCTTAGATCTAATATGGCATCATAGAATTCATATTACACATTTGCCAGAAAATAGACCTATACTGCCCGATTTATATCTACTGGGTTAGTTCTAAAAGGTATTCCAAGATAAAAGTTGACATTTAGAAATTTAAATTTGTCAAAGCGAGAATATATGAAACATATTTTTTTAATCATTTACATTGACAGTGTAGTTTGTATAGAGTATTTGACATTTAAAATGTTGTTCTTCTAAATCTTCATTTTATTCAATGAGCATCGCTGGGTTTATGCTTGATATACCCTTTACAACCCTGTATATTGAAGTATAAACATGCTATAAATACAACATTCATGAAGCGTTATGTAGCCTACTGTGATAATGACAGGAATACTGAGAGCTTGTCAAAGTCACCTTAGCTCAGTTCACTCGAAGCGCAGGGGAGAATATAAAGGGTTACATGTTCAAGAGCGGAATAACTAACTGCAAGAACTACATATGACCAATATATATATATATATTTTTTTTGTTAAGAAGTGATACACAAACCTGCATTCGAGGAACTACTTCATTTGGTTTGTTTTATTTATAAATTGTGTTTAATATTCCATGCTAAAAAAGGCTTATAAATGCATAGAAAATAAAATTAATAAAGTTAGTAAAATTAGATCTTTGTTTCCATTAGTTGACACATTAAACACTGTAAATTAAGACTTTTGCCTTTATTTATAGAGTTCGCATTTGTTTATTCATTTTCATTGGTTGATATGAAAAACACTCAAAATTTCTGCAGAATATGTTGTAAAATCTCTATCTCCACATGTTTAAATATCTAATCTTTTATCCCAGATGTTTCGACGTCATGAGCGCCATGATTACAGTTCGGCTGGAAATGGTGATGACTAAACAATTATTACAAACAGACTTCTATCTAGCCACTTCATCAGTCTTTATCACCACTAACACTGAATATACTTGATACACAACAATATCACCACAACATAACGCCGGTAAATAACCGGTTTATATAGTGCATACAATTGTATTTAAAAGTTTAAAACAATGAAAAGGAGCGTTCCGTAGCACACAGACAGGTGCAAAATTAACCCGCCATACTGTATTCATTATCACCTCGAATGCCAGATTTTGTCACTTGTTACATTCTAATTTCACTATTTATCGTGATTGTTATATATCAATCAAATTATAGTCCAATGGAACAACGCCCTGCAGTGGGGAAGACGACGGACAGGGTGAAGTCGATCTCTTCCTCTTCCTACGGTTGCAGGGTGTGTAACATTCGGCTCATGGCCTATGTAGGTCCAGGAACCGGTGCAGAGTGTGCGGCAAGGAGTCGGGTGACAGCCGCCGGCGGGAGGCGAGGAGAACGCGTGCAGCGAGGCAGGCGAGCGTCACGTAGCGCATCACGCGAACTCGCGAGCCGCGGTTCAATGCCACCAGGTCCGCGGCGGAATCGCCGAACTTGTTGGGTTGATCCAGGTGTGCACCTCCTTCCAGCAGCACTTCGACCAGCTGCCGATCATACCACGTATCGTTAGTTCTAATCACAACATCTTTTATTTAATCTAGTTAATTTTTTTTTTCCGCATTACAGCTTCACTGCATTACAGCTTCACCGTACGAAACCCGAAGAACTTACGGAGGCCAACTCCTGGTTAATAGATACGACTTTAGTCTGAGGGGTTCGAACCTCGGCCCAAGTTACAATGGGAGTATGAAGATTTATATAGCTTAGAAAGAAGGCTTCGGTAGTCTAGGAATTTAACCATATACTTATGTAAATGTAGTTATGTATTTATATCAATTGTCCTGTGTATTGTGGGGCTTAAGTCACAGTACTGTGAGAGAGATTCATTGATAATGCTTGATAATAAATAAAACCTTGAATGCTATTTTTTATTGCTAGAGAAATATATAATGAGGTGAAATGACATATGTCGGCAATTAGGTACTGTAAGCATGCATATGCGGTTGCCTGTACACTTATTTCCATATTGTGCCGTGGCCAGATTGTAGAATTAATCATGTTTACTATATGAAATATATAATTATGATTTTGATTTTGTGTGTACGGATACCTCTGTGGAAAAGTTGTAGGGGATGGCAGCCACGTGTAGGGCGGTAGAGCGAGCCTCGTTTCGCGTGTGCACGTCCGCGCCGCAAGTCAACAGCAGAGACACTACCTCCACGCTCGGGAACACCGGCTGCACACACACAAACACATGTCGACTCACTTATATTATCGCTTCCAATTATGGCCAGATTAACCATTCCATCATTGTCAGAGACATAACCTCCACGCTCGGCAAACTGATCTTACATACTCATATCATCCTCTTGGTGTTAACCGCCAGCGTAAACCTTTAGCGTAGTCAGGTGTACCATATGATTAAAAATAATATTTTTATTTAATTGCACAACTATTATTATAGGCCAATACAATAGTGTATCTAATACTATATTATACATGTTCGCTAATCTATACATATAAATACAATTGTAGTGTCTGTTTGTAATATTGAAATTTTAATATTTTTTTACTACATGCATATGAGTCCGTCTATCTGTTTGTTCCGGCTAATCTCTGAAATAGGTCCAGCCAGACCTATTTTGACGGGAGTTTTACTGGCAGGTAGCTGATGTAATAAGGAGTAACTAAGGCTACTTTTATTGTAGAAATATAAAGTTAAATTCCACGCAGGCGAAGTCGCGAGTATAGCTAGTGTAACATATAACGTACAATGTTGTTTTTGTAAATTCACACACACTATTTGATTGGGAGTGGCCAGCGCTAGCGTCAGTGGTGCCTTGTTTAATTATAAATATATATATTAATACTTTTCTGTTGTCTACAACAAAACAGGTTTCAGTAAAACGAACAACTTTTGATCAAAATTACTAACCGTCGCGTTGAGTTCATCCGCGAAGTAAGTGGAGCGGATTACGTTGAGCCTGGAGACGCAAAGGTGTAGCAGCGTATCGCCGGTGTGGGAACTACGCACGTCGGCCCGCACGAGCTCGGCGACGGCCGCGTGCAGCGACGCTTGCTGCTCCGGCGAGCCGTCCGCCGTCTCCAGCAGCAGCGCCACCAGGTGAGTCGCGCAACGCAGCGCGCGGTCGAACGCCTCCGCCTGCTTCTTGTACACCGGTCGCACGGCCAGCACCGCGCGGCATCCTATATACATCGCCCAAACTTTACAACTTTGTCTTATATGAATGTAGGTGAACACAATTTATATAGCACAAGTGGATAATCTAAAAGCAGTCTTTTGAATTATTATTGCCGTTACACGTACTCTCTTTCGCGGGAACCGCCTTTCACGAAAACAAATCGAACGAGAAAGACCGCGCGTATCAATCAGAGTGTTTTAGCGCCTTTTTATAATAATTAATTAATATTGCAAAATGTAGGACCTCTGAGTATAGAGAAAAGACATAATTGTAGTGTTATTGATAATTTATAAATCTTAAACGTGTCTTTGGAAAATATAATCAGTGGAATAGTGGATTGAAACATACGCGATGTCACGCGCGAAAGAGTGGTCACGAAAAACAGTAAAATTAAATTACACGCCTAAATTGCGCGCGAGAAATATGTTGTGTAAAAGCAGCAATATGGATGCAGGTGTACACAATTTGTGTAGTAGAAGTGAATAATCTAAAAGTAGTCTTTTTAAATTACAGTCTAGTACTGCACGAGTCAGTTGGAATTAGAAAATAACGAGTTAATTAGAAATACAACAAAATTACTCACGCGGCAAATCTTTCGCGATGTGGCGGAATACCCGCATGACATCACGGTAACGCGGCAGATCGCGACCACGCTCGAGGCGGCCGCCGTGCGCGTCCAGCATAAGCCGCGTCAGTGCACACGCAGTGTGACATGTGTCTGAGTAAGTAAATGGTTAGCAACATTAACCCGTAATCATATTGCCATAAATGTTCATAAAAATTCTTTGAACAGACGGTGAATGAAAATCACCACATACGAGTACATATGCACTGTGCCATACTTGGTGGTGATAAGTTTACAATAAATAATTAGATAAATTTGATCCCATAAATAAATGTTATATTGGTTTTTTTTTTTGTTATTTTGGTGTCAAGTAGTAAAAGCAGAACTTTTACCTACTACTTGACACAATTTACAATAATCCTGCAATTAGAGTACCTTTTTCTATCTGTTATTCGGAAAAAGCGGAAGTAGCCAATTTGAGTACCTCAATTATTATCATATACCTATAACTGTCCAGATTTAAAAAATAGTTCATTGTGGATGACATAATAACACAAGGAACAAATGTTTATAATTTCAAATTTAAGTCTGCACATTTAGTAATCAAACAGTCTGTTTCCTTACAGCGGATAATTTATCTTCTTTGCAAACAGATTAGTCAGATACATATATAAGTACATATGAAAACATTTCGATGTATCAAAAAAAATACCTGAATATAAGAGTGAATCCTTTTCGATGCGTATTTGTAGCGCCCAGCTCCAAAGATCAATGCAACGCTGATAGCGAAATGCATCACCATATGATGCGCCCCTGTACAAATGGTTCAATCATTCGAAAATGCACCTTTAATTCCCCACTTTTGAGGCTCACAAGGGACGCGTAATGCAAAATAAAATTAACTGAATTAATACTCACCGGTACATAAGGCGCAACACTGTGTCCTTGTGGTCGGGTCCGAGCACGCGCGCGGCCACCAGCAACGCCTGCGTCCGCAGCGCGTCCATGTCTGTAGCGGCGGCCTCCAGGTCATCCATGGTGCGCCACTCGCGTGCTCCGCCCAGCGCGGGGTGCGGAGGCCTCTGCGGCCGCTTCTCGATGTAGGGCCCGCACGAGTGCCGGATAGCCGTACCGCGGCGCCAGGCAGAGAGCGCAGCGCTCACGTCATTGAAATCATCCAACTGTGTGGCGCCCAGCAACTCGTACGCATCCGCCAGTCGCTCGGGAGGATATGGCACTCGGGCGCCCAGCAGGCTCACGATGTGTGCAGCACCTTTGATGCAGGCGGTGCGCAGCGCGTCGTCACCCGCGCGAGACTCTAGACGAGGGTCTGCGCCATAGTCGAGCAGTAGCCGCGCCGTCTCCACACGGTGCTCCTGGATCGCGTAGTGCAATGCTGTTTTCAATTGCATGTCTTGCGCGTCCACCTGCAATGAGTATACTTCAGTACGGCAGCCTTTTCATAGAAAGTGGGACATGTCGAGGATATACTCACCGCAGCCCCATGCTCGAGTAGATAAGTGCAAAGGCGCACTGACTGCACCGAGTTAATGAGACAGGTGCCTCCATTGTGATTGGGCCGATGGATGTCGGCTCCACGCTGCACCAGGAACTGCACGACGTCTAGGTGCGTCATGAAGCAAGCAGAGCGCACTGGCGTGGAGCCACTATCGGAACCGGCGTTGATGTCAGCTCCTGCGTCAGCGAGCACCCGCAGAACTTCTAGGCGACCTGCGACGGCAGCACACCAGAGGGGCGTAACGGAATGGACCGAACGGTCGTCGGGCACTTCGTACACGCCGCGCTGCTCTAGATCGGCGGCACACAAATGTACCAAGTACTCCACTAGCTCCACATTACCGCGTTTGCACGCAACAAACAGCGGCGCACACCCGTCTCGTCTACGCCTGACAACTGCACGCCGTTCCGCTGGACACATTCTGTCGCAAAACAAACCATAATAAAAAAAAATAACAGAGAATATGCTTTAAATAAACAGTGGAATAACTTGCAAGCTTAAAAATACAATGCATTAATAGAAAATACCACTTAATATGATTTTGGCAATAACCTATAAGAATTTTAAAAGTGGGTTTATCAAGATTATATTGTTGTATGTATTTTAATGAATTTTGACAATCAACTGAAATTTTATTGTGATTAGGACAAGCATACAAAGTCGCAGATAGCAGCTAATTATTAATTAGTAGTAAATCTTTATTGTAGAAGCAGACACAATGTTGATTAAATCATTGCTATTTGCTATATTAAATTAACAATGCAATTTTCGTCATACAAGATTTTCCATAACAATGACATATTACCATTGTACTTAGTCTGATGACAATACTACAAAAGCCATTCAATCCAATTACAGGTATCCCTTAAAGTTGCATATATTTACTTACACTAAACTATTTAGTATTCCAATATTTAGCATCAATATAATATAATAATGAATAATTATTTTGAACTACATCAATACTAATTATTACTAAGTAAACCAATCAATAATTAGTATTTGTGAATTTCTAAATATTTAATAGTTAAGTATAGTAATTAGAGTTAGATTGGAAGCCATTTAATGCTTTATAGTATATTAGTTAAATAACTGATGGATAAATTATATGAAATAAGAAATCTAATGAAATATCATTGGTTAGGCACCAATTAACCAACACAAAGCCTAATCAGACTACTATATCATTTTCGCAAAGCATTTCGCATAACACATCTGTTTTGGCTCAGCTTCCAAAATATATGTCAAAATCAATATTTTTAACATACACAGAACACTTCTGGTCCATGTATGATGAAATAAATTCATAATTATAATATACTTTATTCAAACAGTATTCCATTTACACTAACCTTGTCAGTGTAGTATTCTTTCAAGTAAAATATTACATAGGTTGGTTCATATAAGTCCATCAACTTCTGAATGTACTTGCAACCTATTACTTCCTCATATGCTAATCACATTTTAATCTACCAATTCCGGGGGTATTTTTTTTTTGTGGATGTTAATGGTATGGTGCACCAGCCTGGGCTAACGGTTTATGCTGGCGGGGCACCAGTGAAGGATGATAAGATGAGCATGAGGTCAGGTCAGTTAGTCCATCAAGACAAATTCACCAGGAATTTAACATGATGGTTTCCAGGGAAAACCGCGTGGAGGTCGACCTGACATGGTACATTGCTAGCAATAAGATCACCAGTCCACATTACTAACAATCCCCTTTCCCCCTAATTCCGGGGGTAGCACTAAGCAAAAGTTAAGTTATTAATTATACATGTAGTAAGGTAGTCACATAATTTCATTATTTTAATTGGTGTTATTGGGGCAGAGGATATATTACAAATAGGAATGTTTGTAATGAGGTTTAGTAGCACCTTACTACTACTACAACTTACTAGCTAGAAATATACCAGTTCAGGTGGACCATTGCATGTCAACCACTGCAGTGGTCCATTCTGGAAACCATAGTGGTCCTCTGTAGAAACTATTAATTCCTGGTATATTCACATAGCCTTACAGTCCTAACTTTGTTTGTTATATCATGATCCACTGATGTGCTCCTGCCATATACCATTAGTAATGACAGGCACCATTTTTTATCAATTTAAAAAATTATGCTATTTGTGTGTTTGTATTCACATAAAATTCTCAAAATGTAAAATATAACATTATTTGTTTAAAAGAGCAAATCATTCCTAATGAGTGTTAGAATCAATAAATATATTTTAATAAAACTATTTGCAAATTATTAATGTGGCGCTAATTATAGCATACCACTTACAATTATACATAGTACATATATTCCATAACAAAAGAATACATAGATATTTTTGTTATAGTCAGAATAATACTATACCTACTTATAATGTACCTACCTACATTGTACCTAGTTCATTCATTTAAAATTGTTATAACTGACGCTAATATGTCGTCAATAATTCAGACAAATAAATATTTGTTTTATAATAAGCCAAGAATCATTTTCATATGCTAAATAAACAAAGCATTTACCTTTCGAGCGCGGTCCTGAGGCGCGCAGAAAGGCGGGCACCGGGTGCACTATGCTTGCATTCTCTCATCAACTCATTAAATACTGCATCATGATGCTTCGAGCTTTCATTTATCAGCTTCAAAGTCCCAGATCTCGCCGCACTGCCATGACGCTCGGGCCACATTTTGTAAATACCTGCACCCTTTAGCGTACTGCTATTTGGGCGCTTTTAATTTACTAAAGTTAACCGACAACCGATCGATTCATTCACACGGACACAAAGTAAAATCACTATTCTAAATTACAAATTAGTAGTGGCCCTGCAAAAATACACGTTTCAAGCACAGTACACTATTTAGTTAAGATCGGGTTACAATAAAATACATTTAAAAATTACGAAAATATCCTATATTACGGTACTCGGATAACATTGCTATTGCACAAAATATAAATACCTACAGATGATTAATGAAATTGAAACAAAGATTGCGACCGAAGCAATTCAATATTATGAAAAACCTTCATGCAATTGATTACAAATGCAACGTCTCTATTATCTGTCATTTGTCAAAAGTAATGTCGGATTTGGGTACTTTCTACTAAATTTAGGAGATTTAGCACTCATGGAGAAATGTGAATGTGTCTGGGAGGAAACGTTGAGATTGCGGATTTGAAGGTCTTGAGTCATCAGAGGTAGTATTGGCGATCTAAAAAAATAGCAACAATAATAATATATATTGAAAAATAGCCATGTTATAGACGGCTTCAGATAGTTTAGCACGATACATGAGATAAGAATTATGTATATTGGTGTTTTTCATGTGCTGCATACGTCTGTATTTAAAAAATAAACATATAGATATTTAAGTATTTATATCAGATGTTTAGTACCCGTAGCACAGGCTTTGCTTAGTTTGGGACTAGCTGGCGTTGTGTGAATTGTTTAGTAATATTAGGTCGGGAAAGTAATACTATAAATTGGCAACACTGTCTGGCAAATTGGCAACGTCTGCATTATCTGTCAACTTTCAAAAGTAAATATTTATCAAATTTTTATTTATCTTTTCAAATTGATCTCTGAAAGAGTTATTCAGAAATTACTTATGTAGATACAAAAAATAGACTAGTTTTTTTGGAGCTCTTGTACCACTTTTCGTGTCTATTACTGAACGATAAAGATATTTTTTATTTAATTGAATCTGTTGTTTTATTTAATTTATCTATATTATTATTATTGTGATGATGGTGGACGACGAAGATGATTATGACGATGACGAACTTCCAACAATAATCGTAAATGGGTCTCTACAACAACAGGTAAATTTATATATTTTACACATCGGTAATAGCACCATACGTAGGTATGCGGTGATACCGTTGATCTTACTAATATTATAACCGACAAAGTTTATGAATATGTTGTACATGATTGTTACTCTTTCACGCAAAAACTACTGAACGGATTTTGATTAAACATCACAGCAATATAGCTTTTGTATGCATCAGAATAACACAAGGGCTATTAATTTCATATATCACGCTATAATAGTCTATAATAGTGGACACAGCTAATGTGATATATAATTAAACATAAAAATGTGTAGTGTACAAGACAGATACTGATATTACTGTGGTGAATTTTTATTTGGTGTAGCTCAAATATAAATAATAAAGAACATTGGGTGCATAACTATGTTTATGGATTTTGATGTATAGAATATTTTATTTTAAGAGGCAGGAGGGAAATGGGGATGCAGGGATGGTTCCCTGGAAACCATCATGATCAATTCCAAATGTATTTGTCACAACAGGTTAATTGACCTGATCTCACATTCATCTTATGATCTTCCACTGATTCCCCCTTCAGTATAAAGCATTGGCGCTGATGGATGCCATTGCAAAATGGACTACTCCAAGCAATTTACCATGTCAGATTTCCCTTGGAAACCATCTCTGATTAATTGTCATGATAATCTAACTGACCTTCCGTAATTGTTATCTTATGATCTTCCACAAAACCATTAGCGCAAGCAGAAAATTCCATTATCTATCATGAAAAATATTTTTTTTTTTATTTTTAAATAAAATATAATTACATAATATAATAAAATATATTTTTTAATTAAAATAAAGATTATTGTTTATTGTCATTTTTCAAGTATACGTAAATAAAGGGGGGCGGGGGTATTTTGGATGACATGGGGGTGGGGGACATAATATAATAAAATATATTTTCTTTGCTAAAAAAACAATACATTAATGGAGAAATGTTTACATAAGCATGGGGGGAGGGAGTAAGAGCTTTGTTTACTTTTGCTGACAAGGGGGATGGGGGTAAATAATTGTGATAAATCTGCTTACGTAATACTTGAACAGCCCCTTTACAGCTGTTTTCTATAATTTCATTATGATTAAACACTGTGGCATTCTGATCAATAAACAAACTTACACTAATATATAACTTATACTTATACTAATAACTTACTATAAAATTCTAGAGTCCTAAGATTAAGTTTTCTTAACGGTACAGATTAAAAAATTTAGACACAAAATTTTCAACTCTACACTAGTTAAACTAAGTTTTAATTTCTAATAATTTATTACTCTCAGATTACCGATGTGTCAACCTTTTTACTAGTTCTCAATTGCACATATACAGCATTCAGTCATCAGCCCTTGTATTAGACATCATTATATCACAAGTGTACATTATACTGAAATAGATTGTACATAGTCATCCATGTGGAAATAGCCATCTCACTTATTGGCAGTGATGATAGTCAGCACCATTGAAATTAGATCATTATATGTGAGACCCATGAGGTTATCATGTATTGCCATTTCAGAGAACATCTTATTTCTCTTCTTGACCACAACTTTATGTATAATGGAAAAAATTGTGTTTTCAAATATACTTAGTTTAGTTTAGTTTGATATTAATGTCATAAAAAAAAATTTTAGACATGTTCTTTAATAAAATATCATAAATTTCATCATCATCATCATCACAGCCCGGAAGATGTCCACTGCTGGATATAGTCCTCCCCCAAAGATCTCCACGATGATCGGTCCTGCGCTGCTCGCATCCAATATTTCATTACCAGCGATCTTGACCAGATGATTTGACCGGTCCACCTTGCTGGGGGGCCTTCCCACGCTGCGTCTTCCGGTACGTGGTCGCAACTCAAGGACTTTACTGCCCCAACGGCCATCTGTCCTACGAGCTATGTGCCCTGCCCATTGCCCCTTCAGAGTCGCAATTCTTCGGGCTATATCGGTTACTCTGGTTCTTCTGCGAATCTCATTTCTGATTCGATCACGCAGAGTAACTCCGAGCATAGCCCTCTCCATTGCCCTCTGAGTGACTATGAGTTTGTTCATGGGGCCCATAGTTAGCGACCACGTATCTGTGCTGTAAGTAATCATTGGCAACACACATTGGTCGTAAACCTTCGTCTTGAGACACTGCGGGAATTTGGACGAAAAGATATATCAGAGCTTCCCGAACGCTGCCGAAATCATAAATTTATGTAGAAAAAATCTTTATAACAACTACAAAATTGTAAATTGTAAATGAATTAATTAATAATAATCTTTATTGTCATTGTAATATTGTACTTTTGTTACAGAGTGAGTTTATTATGCCATCTGCAGAAGCATTGGCTTCAGAACGAGCACGTGAGAAGGAATGTGAACGTGAGATAGAGCAGATGCGATGCGAGCACGAGGCAACCGCCCGCTTCGCTCACAGCGACTCTAGCAGCTCTGAGAGTGAAGTGCTCTCGGCTGCCGTGGAAGCGCTACAAGTGCAATCCACACCTCCCTCACTTACCCGCCCAGACCCCTCCCACCTTCTTGGCGACTTACTGCAACTCATGCGCCCTGAACACAGCCTGTTTATTCGAGATTACCTTGATATGATCCAACATGCAGACAGTGTTACTATCGACCACATCACATATGACGTAATTATATACTACATTATGGATGTCAAATATTTGAACATATTTCGACCTTACACAATATCTTCCGCTCTATGTCACTCCTACACACATCAATCTCACACACATCGGTAAATCTGAACTGCAAATTAAACTAAACCAAAAACATTTTTAGAGAAATGTTATTGTAATTTTAGTGGCAATCATATAATTATTCCTTACTTATCATGAACACAACAGTCTGCCAAACAGTAATGTATTTGTACTTACAACAATTCAGGCATCATGAAAGGCCTTTACGAAAATTTCGACTTACAAAAGCACAACGTGACTAATATAATCAAAATGACAAATAAATATATAGATTCATAAATAAATAATAAACAGGCGACGTCGAGCATTCTGTGGTCGGTGAGCGCGGCAGCGATGGGAGCAGGTACGTGGGGTGAGGCGGAGATTGTAGGCGTGGGCGCGTGGTTGTGTGCAGCGTGCTTGTGGGGGGAGCCAGCCCATCCTTCTCCATCACAACCCCTTCCATCGGGAACTACGACTCGACCACCACGAACGACGCGCGCGCGTCTTCGCCGTGCATTGCATTGTCTCCTAGACATTGCAAATCCTCAACATGTAAGCTACTTTATCTGAATATTAGTTGTAGTCAAAATACCTTGATGATGACAATTATTAATACAACACAGGCCATCGATTACCAAACTAAACAACTGAAAAAATACTTAAATACATTATTTTTAAAATAGACGCAACATATAGTATATATAAAATAAACTTCTAGATCAATACAAATAATCATATTAATGAATACACATGTTTGTACTCTACATGAATCGAAACTGTGATCATTGGACGGTAGATGCTGATTTTTCTTGAATATTCAATTATACAGATAATTCTTGCATTAACTGGATAATTGAATCACTTTAATGTTACACATTATTCTATACTAGTTTCAAATGGTATTCTGAAACTTTATAATCGTAAGAGTAGAAACTTTAAAATAAAATCGATAGGTACAAAGTCTGACGCATGTAATGGTGCGTGCGGTAAAGGAGCCGCTGGCTCGGCTGGAGCTGGCGGAGGCGGCGGGCGGCGGTGAACTGACCTCCGGCCTGCTGCATGCCGCCCTGCGGGACCTGCTCTCCACCGATAGCCACCAGGAAGACTCGGAACCTCCAGGTCGCAGCTCGCCGAACGAGTTGGCAGAGCTAGTGTGCTCACGGTGGCGCTCTCTATCGGCGGACGCGCGCTATGCCGTTGTGCAGGTAAATTTAAACACAGACAAGAACTTTAAAAGAAAAAAAATTATCAAAAACTGCACCTTGAACATTTCCGTAATGGAGGCCGGTTCTTACAAATCTAATATATATATGTAAAATACTCTGTTACAATGTTAGTTACCATACTCCTCCGAAACGGCTTGACTGATTTTTATGAAATTGCAGATATCATAATCGGCTACTATCTATTTTTCATACTAAGTGATAAGGGTTGTCCACCCCTTTTTGAGCCATTTTTTTATAACCTTATACCATCAACCAATATTTTTTAATAGCGAAGAGAATGGAATTAGAATTAATAATTAGAGAATAATAATTTTAGTTTATTTAAACAACGTTTGCGTGGTCAGCTAGTCAAATTATATACTTCAAAGGTTAAGTGTTCGTCTTTAGCGAAACCTACACGTGGAAAAACCTAGTTTCATAATTTTATTGTGGATATACTATTATTAATAATAATAATAGTATACCCACAATAAAATTATAAAATAAAGATCTTAGTAATTTATTTGTGTTAAATTATTGTCATATAACAGGTGGCTAGCAGGGCACTACTACGGCCGGCCGCCGCGGATCCCTCGCCCGATGCGTCCGCCATCCGCCGCCTGCTGGCCGAGATATCACACCCCATCTCCGTGCCGCTCGCAGACAGACACCGCCCGGAACACCTCAAAGTTAGCTCCAGTTCAAATCATCTAATCACCATCAACCATTAAACTAATCAAGCCGAATTTACATTGAGTATTTAGTGTAATGCTTCTTTGAATAATATATTTTTGTTTCGCTCAATTGACATGACCTCTATGACATATGAACAAAATTAGAGTGTCTGTAATATTGAAATAACCGTTTTTTTAAGGAGTAACTTACGCTACTTTTATTTTAGAAAAATAAGGTTAAATTCCACTCGGACGAAGTCGCGGGTACAGCTAGTTCTATATATAATTGTCCATTGGTGCCTTGCTAGCGTATACCGTTAAGCAGAAAATACAATTTCATCTTCATGTTAAATTGTTGTTTGTATAAGAAATAATTGATGAAATTATGTAATGTTGTTAAACTATTTTTATTGTAATGTATTATTTGGTATTTGTGTTTTCAGGTCCTTGTTGCTGCCTCAAAACTACAGTTACTATTTCGTGGAAAAAAACAAGACTGACTATTAAATTGTCTTTTATTTTTAAATAAATAAGTCATAGATTCATTTATAAAAGGACTTAAAACTAATATGCACAAAATAAGCTTTATTAGTCATATCACATTGTTTATGGATTATCGTTTGAGATATTTCTGACTATGTAGGTTGTTTATGCGTATGCAAGATCCATACTGAAGTGTGACAACAGCAATGTCAGTGCCGCGCCGCACAGTCTACGATGGTACCAGCCGCGTGATTCCCATCTGTGAATTACATATAATAATAATCTCAGGATAATACACACAGCGCCATCAAGACCCAAGATAAGCTAGCTAAAGCTTGTCTTATAGGTACTAGATAACTGATACAAATATATAGATAGATTTTTTTTCGTAAATACGTACACATAATACATAGAAAACACCCAAACCGATATAAACAATCATACTCATGAATACAAATGTTTGTGCCGTGCGTGCGAGGAGTCGAACCCGCGAACCATCAGAAGTAAGGCGGTGTGCTAAACCGCTACACCACCTTGACCGTCAAATATTATATTTCACAATAGCTGAGTATGCGCCGATTTAAATAAATTAGACCAAATCCGTTTCTGAGGTTAGCTCGTACAAACACACAGACAAACAATAATTTCAATTGTTATCGTCAGTTCTAATTTAGTATCATAATTTCGCCTATTTTGTGTATCGAAATTAAAATAAATAAATAAATTGTTCAATCTATGGCACCAACAAATTGCACCCATATCTTATAACATTCAAGTAACTTGTGTAAAATGCGATTCTTAATCTCAATACATACATATTCACTATGCATGCTGGTACCATATGACGCAATTGGTTTTTAAACATAGCACACATTACAATATGTATGTTGAGACTGCTACTGTCTTATGGACACACTCACCCGGCGGCGCGTAGTAATGCAAGCGCAGCAGGCTGGAGCTCGCTAGCAATTGCTTCGAGTGATTGGAGCCCTTCCGCAGCTGCGTATGTACGGCTCGCCCGTGCCAACGCACGCCCGACGCCACGCCGCCACCATCTAATATAAAAAGAACACTAATACAAGGGAACTTCCCAAGGTCCCACTTCCACATTGCGAATTGTGTAGTCCAGTATCATTAATTTCAAATTTCCAGTCATAATCTTATATATAAAATTCTCGTGTCACAGTTTTCGTTCCCATACTCCTCCGAAACGGCTTGACCGATTCTCATGAAATTTTGTGAGCGTATTGAGTAAGTCTGAGCATCGGCCAACATCTATTTGTCATCCCCCTAAATGTTAGGGGTAGTCGACCACAAAATTTTTTTTTAAGGCAAAACAATGTTTGTCGTGACAGCTAGTATTGTATATATAATACAGTATACACAATAATAATTACATAATATAAAACAAAGTCGCTGTCACTGTCTGTCCTTATGTACGCTTAAATCTAAAGCTACGCAACAGATTTTAAAGCGGTTTTTTTAACACAGAGTGATTTAAGAGGAAGGTTCATATATATATAATACATGTACACCCACGTTGGGGTGAGGAACTAGTAACTAATACTTAATAGTTTTTTTTTGCACACAATCCTAACTTATGTGGCATTTGGGAAACAACACAAGGTCTTATATAGTTATACTTTATAGATATATACTTCAAAAATGCATTCTTATTTTGAATTATATTCTTGGGAATTAAATAAAACTTTATTAGTGTCTTGTTTAGCAAACTATTAACATATTACTTATTAAACTAAACACATATTAATAATCGAAAAAGAAAACCATGGTACTTACAACTTATTTGCTCTCCTGTCAGAAATAAATAGGTAAGTCGCTTAATTTATCACATTGATAAAAGATGTGTTTACTCAAAACAGTTGAACATTAAGCACTAGATAAAAGATTAACAAATCTATTATTCATCTATGCTGAGTTCTCAACTATTTTTAAGTACAAAAATATTTAATATAGTGTGGCTCTTACTGAGGATGAACGGCGAGTGCGTGAAGCCAGCCGCTACAGCCGTCGCCCCTGTACTCGGACAACGAGACAGTGCCCACAACCTGTACAGTGATTTTGTTGTATATTCTGCATAGGCCATTTTTTTATTTTTCATTTTTACAGGTACAATTATCATTTGTTGCATAGCTTATTTTGCATAAAGACTTAATTAGCTTTTATTGCACCTTTCACATTACTCTGTAATGCATTTTATTTATATCATCATTGCCTTGCCTTTATCCCATTATTTGAGGTCGGTGCAGTATGTCACTGCTCTCTATTCGGTCGTCATATCTAAACATACTCTTCTTTTATTCATATCATCTTTCACACATACCTTTTTCATATATACCTTTATTTATATTTAGTCTTATAAACACATGTCATCTGTTAGTAGCTAGTTAGCAGTAACAAAATCTGTACCTAAGTAAATAAAAGCACATATATTTATACCTGTGTATTAACCAGTTTGTTAGAAGTCCCTTGTAATTCTTGTTCAAATACAATAGATGATGTGAGCTTTTGTGGTTCAGCAAGGAGTGGCCCACGAAGCTCTGCCACAAACCCCACCATCTCCTTCCTGATGTCCTTTAAAAATAATTGGAATGATTGGCTATCTGCGGAAAATAGAATTCTACATACATTACGAACAATGAAATGACAAGAGGCAATGGGCTGAAAAACAAACAGTATCTAGTCTAATGTGTTGTAATAAATAGTAGTAGTATACCTGTGCCTGCTTGGTGGCAAGAGTCAGGTGTGCAAAGAAAACAGCGAGGCCGACGGCGATAGCCGCGGAGGGCACCACCAGGCACAATCCACGTAACGACACACCGCAGAAGATGAAAAGCACCGCGGCACTCAGAACACTCGCCTGCAGCGTTAACTAGAACACCACCACACCTACTCAGATCAAAAAAAGGTCTGGGGACATTTCTGTCATTCCTTCATCAAATTACTCACTTCTTGGAAAAAGAACAAAAAGAAAGCATCTCGCTGATGAGTGGTCATAACGCTCTTTACGAGTTCGGTACGTGCTAGCCAATCTTCGGGACGAGCCCGGCGTATAATAATCTCGCAAGACATTTTATTGAAAAATAGTATTTAAATACTCATTTGTGCACTCTATAATGTGCATGTACATTGAAACTTGTAGGAGAATTTATATTAAAAACATTCTTTGTTTTCTTTAATGCATAAAAAAAAAATAGTTTTCAATGTTTGTGGCACATAAATATTGAAAATGGCAATTAAATATTCAGGTTGTGTATCGAAAGACAAATTGGGTTTATTAGTCAAGTAAAAAAATAAAGAATAAACAAAAAACTAATAAATAACTTTAATTCAACAACACAATATTTCTACTCTGTGCACTGTGCATGCACACACAGATCTGAGAGACTGCTAGTGTCATAATTTGACAAATTAACTACAAAAGTCACTCTGTGTAGCACACAACACTAAAAACTAGGAAGTAGCAACTATAATGAGACGATACAGTTCATACAGTATATTATTCGTGAAGTTTAAATTTTTATATACTCTGTTATGATTCATAATAAGATTCTCATTACTTACCTATATCCTATTGCCCACTCCCGCTGATTAAGTGGTCCAACTGTAGCATCTTTGCTGACAGATGCTACAGTAGTATAAGCAGTTTGTGGGCCCAATCATCCAATGGTTGGAAGGGAAAAGAGATTGTTAGTAATGTGGACTGATGATCTTATTGCTAATAATATATCATGTCAGGTTGACCTCCACCCGGATTTCCCTGGAAACCATCGTGATTCTTGGTGAATTTGTCACAATGGGCTAACTGATCATCTTATCATCCTTCAGGCGGGTGCACCATTCAATTATCATCCATAAAAAAACTATCCAATGGCGCAGGAAAGGGGATTGCTAGTAATATGGATTGGTAAACCCATTGCTTCTAATGTATGGTACATTCAGGTTTCGCATATATGGTTTGCTCCATAGCAAACCATCATGATTATATCATAATAGCCCATATTATTATATCTATACATAGATGACATTTTATCATCTTCCATTGGTGCCTCGTCAACGAAAACCAATATCACAGGTACCTGTGCTATTGGTTTTCGTGATGATTCACCCGAATCATAATGGCGGTGATAGACCACGCGTGGACGTCGGCGAAATTCGGGTTCCCGAGGCCTCCTTTTTTTCCCAGTCAAGAAAACGTTTAATTACATAAGCGAATTATAATTAAACTAATGTATGAGAACACGGGATTTATTGCTAATCAAATTATATTTATTTACCTCCTGCCTCACTGAACTTTTTCAGGATTATGTCAGCTAACACTAGCCGCTACTTCAGCTTCAATTGATAGAACTGATAACGCAAATAGTCTCTTTTGACTCATCGTGCTTCTCAAATAGGTCTTAATCAATTTTAACTTTGAGAAGCTTCTCTCAGTGGAAGCTGTACCTACTTACTGACGGGAAATATGAGCATGATTTTAATTGTTAAATAAACAATTGGATATATTTAAACCCCGTAAAATACTAATCACTCTCTTTACTCGTGCAACTATATGAAATAAATAAAAATGAATAACTACATTTTAAACAATTAAAATCTTTACAAGGCCTTTTCAACCCTGAGGCCGTTTGTGGTCGCCGATGCTGCGAGTCCTAACGCCGCGCCGCACAGTGGGCCCATATTGAAAATTAGTGGACATAGACGATTATATGACGCGTTATGACATTCCTGACAACTTCTACTCTTGTAAAATTTCTTCTAAAATAGATAGTTTGTCTGAAAAATAATAAATTAGGTTTTTTGTATGGAGCGAATCACGTTTTATTTTTTTTCTTCAATTGTATAAATATGTTAGGTGTATGGCGTGAGTATTTGATAGTTAGGATCATTCTCTATCCACGAAAACATAAATTAGCGCTTGCCATCCGCAACCGCGCGAGTAATCAATCGGTAAAAAGTTATTGCCATTTAAAATAAATTCAAACTATATCTTTTGTCACATTTGGCTGTTTTCACCTTCTTCTTAGTTAAATATTTTTTTTTTTATAACACAGGGGACAAACGAGCATGCGGTTCACCTGATGGTAAGTGATTACCGCCGCCCATGAGCACCCGCAACACCAGGGGAATTGCAAGTACGTTGTCGGCCTTTTAAAAACTTATTCCTTTTTAAAAGGCCGACAACTTTTCTTGAAGGTTTCAATATCGTATCGGTTAGGAAATACCATTGCTGGCAGGTGATTCCATAATGTGGTTGTGCGAGGCAAAAAGTTTCTAGAAAACCGCACTGTGGAAGACCGCCATTCATCCAGATGATCAGGATGGTATTTCAGTTTCTGGCGGGTGGTACGGTGGTGAAACTCAGCAACTTGTATTAATCCGAACAATTCCTCAGAACACTCCCCGTGATATATGCGGTAGAAAATGCACAGAGATGCAATATCACGCCGCAAAGCCGGTCGGTCGAGTCTGTCACATAGACGTTGATTACCAATGATTCTGGCTGCTCGGTTCTGAATGCGGTCAAATGGAAGTAGCTGGAATTGTGGTTCTCCCGCCCAGAGGTGAGAACAGTATTCCATGTGCGGCCGGATCTGCGCCTTGTATAATTGCAAGCGATAGGCCGCCGTGAAATACCGTCTCACTCTACTGAGCACACCAAGCTTTTTTGAGGCTATTTTAGCCTTGTCCTCCAAATGACCGCAAAACTGAACGTCACTGGATATATCAACGCCAAGGACCTCGAGATTTGGCTTCACATCAAGGAGAATGTTTTGAAACTGAGGAGATACGATAAATGGATTCTTTTTAGCAGTAAACGCGCAAACTGGTGTCTTCTTGGGGTTGAATTGAACACAATTTTCCTGACCCCAAACCGAAACTTGATGGAGTGAAGTTTCGATTTCGGACACAAGTTTGTTCCGGTACTCTATAACTTTTGCCTGCGACATATTAGCATGGCCGCTGTACAAGGCATCTCCGGTACTGTCATCCGCATAGCAATGAATGTTGTTGATTTGTAACATGTCATTGATATGCAGAAGGAACAGAGTCGGAGACAGCACACAGCCTTGTGGAACACCAGCATTCACAGAGTGTGGGTCGAAGCAAGCACCATCGACAACGATCTTGATGCTCCGATCAGCGAGAAAGCTGGCGACCCATTTGCATAACTTCGCAGGCAACCCGAAGGATGGTAGCTTTGAAAGAAGAGCTTTGTGCCAAACCCGATCAAAGGCCTTCGCAATATCCAGACTAACAGATACGGCCTCCCCCTTACTCTCAATAGCCTCGACGTGTCAAATACACTAGAAGATCACCAGTTGAGCGACCCTGGCGAAAGCCATACTGACGATCAGAAATCAACTGGTTCACTTCTAGGTATCGTAGGAGTTGACGGTTGACAATCGACTCCATTGTCTTTGAGAATAAGGAGGTGATGGCTATGGGCCTATAGTTAGCTGGATCTGAGCTATCTCCCTTTTTAGGGATCGGATGAACCAAAGCCGTCTTCCAAAGTTTCGGGACTACACCTGTAGAGTAGCAGTACCAGAATAGACGCGTTAGTACCGGAGCCAACTCAGGTGCACACGTCCTGAGCACAATAGCAGGAATACCGTCAGGCCCACTCGACTTGTGGATATCAAGGGAGAAAAGAGACTTACGTACCAGCTTTTGGGTAAATTTTACCTCTGGCACCTCGAGATGACCGGCAGTGATTGCTCCTTATCGTCCAGTGTCGAGTTGGCTGCAAAAAGAGACCCAAGGAGATCGGCCTTCTCTTTAGCATGTTGGGCCAACGAGTTATCATCTCTGCGCAGTGGTGGAAAAGATGGCTGACAGAAATTTCCCTGAGCAGCTTTGGCAAGAGACCAAAAAGCCCGGGATCCAGATGGAAGACTGTTTAGTCTCTTACCAATTCTACTGATGTGCTCCGACTTTGCTGTGACAATAACTCTTTTGAAGGACCTGGAAGCGGAGTTATACTTCCTTTTATGGGCACTGGTATCTGGATCACTCGACTTCACAGCTGCAATCCAGGCACGGAAGCATTCCTGCTTATGGCGAGACACCGATCTACAGGATCCGCCATACCAGGACTGAGATCTACCATCGACAGCTACCTGGGAATTTGGAATAAACATCTCCATTCCCTGAAGTACTACATCGGTGACAGATTCAGCTATTACATCAGGATCGTCCAGTGCGAAGCAAACTCACCCCCATGGGTAAGATGCAAAAAAACTTCGCATCTCATCGCAATCTGCCGACTTAAAATGCCAAACACGATGTCGACCAGTAGATCGCGGCAAAGAAGGACGCGTGAGAGGCACTTCGCTCCGTATCAGACAATGATCAGAGGATCCCAATGGGGTTTCCACAGAGATCTGATATCCGTCCGGATGAGATGTCAGCAGAAGGTCCAACAGTGAAGGTATATGTTCAACAACATCATGTATTCACGTTGGCGAGGATACCAGTTGCGTCAAACCATATGCCAAAGCAAAGCCATGAACAGATCTCCCCACATAGTCGGTGGTACGTGAACCGAGCTATTCAGCGTGATGAGCATTAAAGTCACCAAGAATCACGACCTCAGCGGAGGGAATCTGTTGGAGCAAAAAATCTGTAGCCATTTGGACGTGTTCAATGAGTCGGTCAGTTTCGGTGTTACCGCTATGGGACCTGTATAAGCATAGATGCGGGGGTGGTCATCGCAATCTACACGCAACCATAAAATGGACAGGTCAGTACCTTCAAGTGTACCAAGACGGCGACAGCAAATATCCTCTCCGACATAAGCGCACACACCGGCCCGTGGAATAAAATGGTGTTCCAAACTATATCCAGGGTAGGTCAGGTACGAAATTTCGTCGGGACAGGATATTTGCGTCTCCGTAAGGAAGAGCAAAGCCGGCCTCGCCGTCTCTAGGTGGTGGTGGACGGCGTTGAGATTGGAATGAATTCCCTGATGTTGCAAAAACTGACTCTGAGCAAGGGAAATGCCGATGGAGATTTGCTCGGTTTCCTGTTGGCCAAATTGAGCGGAGTATTGCCCACCCCAGAATACGCAGGGCAGCCTGAGTGTGATATCTCAGGGGTGGATTCTCCAGTAACACGGTTACTGGTACCACCCTGGGGTAAAAATCTCTTATATTCCGCTGCCATGGTATGTAAGAAAGGGGTGGGTAGGGGAAGGAAGT